GAACGTCTCCACTCGCTTTTTGGAAAAATGGGGGGGGGGGGGGGGGGGGGCGCGCAGGAGGGTACAAATCACCTATGGACATCAGTCAGTGCTTGATTGTATCTACGAATGTTCGTAAGTTATAATATAATATAATATAATATTATATTATAATATAATATATATATAACATATATATATTATAATATAATATAATATATATAATATAATATAATGTTCGTTCGTATCTTGGGGGAACTGCCGTACTGTCTTTATTCAGGCTTGAACGTTAAACAAGCCTCCAGTCACTAGATGGCAGCAGAGCAGCTCATTTTATGAATCTATTTTAATAGTCAGGGGATTGTATGCAGAACGCTGGTGCCAGAAATTCATACAGTGGTTAATACTGATAAATAAATAAATAAATAAATATTATCAGGTACATAATAGTATTTGAATTTTGGGAGCAGGCTGGAATAACTTCTGAGAGAAGCCAAGAGAGCTGTAGCCAAGGTGAGGGGGGCGAGCACAAAAGATGTCAGACATGAAGTTGCCGTCAAAGAGACGAAGAAGATCTCAGAGAGAGAGATATTTGTGGACGCTGTAAATGCTGTAGATGATCCGCCGTGGCGACTATTTGAACTCACAAGGACTCACAGGAGCTGCTCGCCCACTGCTGCCCCCAGTGGTCACAATTTTGTACAATTAAAGGTAAATCCTGAACAAAGATTAAAAGAAATTGTTCCAAACAAAAAAACATTCCGTAGCGGTGGAATGGTTACCTTCTGGTTCAACAAAACAAACAGTCACCGTTCATTCACAAATCAAGTTTGAAAAACTAAATTCTTACCTTGTGTTTTCTCAGAGTTCCAAAGTCATGTGCAGCATCCTGGGAACCTAACCCCACCCCCAATCCCCCGAACACAGACATATTAGTGTCAGTCTTCATCTTTTGTGTAGTATGGAGAAGAACATATAGGTCACGTGACGGTCACATGGCTTAGGTTCTGCCTCATGTTCTCCCCTTTCCTTTCATCAGTCTGCTCATTAATGTTTAATGTTGGCGTGACCCTTAACCTGTGTGAGACCAAAGGTGACATCCAGGACAGAGATAGGCTGACAGTTCTCGCAGTACTTTCGCAATCTACACTTTTAGTGTTGTAGTATATTAGTAAGGTTTGGTAGCCTGACTAATTCTAACTCTAACTTCTAATTTAAATTATTTATAGATTCCCTTCCATTTTTTGGGAGGGTCAAACTTTTTATACAGTACAGTTCAGTGGCTAGGCAACATTATTAAGAAGCATATCATACACAAAGAATATTGTTGTCCTCTCTCTTACTTATGCTTATTTCAAAATTTTACATTTATTTATATTAATGTAAAACATTACCGCATTCACTTCACGAGCAGATTGAGCGTTTTAACTCTATTTTTATTCATTAATCTATCAAATTTACATTGTATTTATTTCATTTTAACCACATGCCATAACAAAAATATCTAATGCAACTCCTGACTCCTGCTCCTGACCTGGCATCCCTGTTCAACTTTAGGGACAAGTGTAGCCCACGAGTCAAAACGTTTGCCCCCTCCCCCCCCGCCTGGTTTCAAAGCATTCTGAATCGATGTGATGTTTGCTTTTGTCATCAGCTCACCCAACAGCAGGTAAGGCGTGATGACCCCAACCTGCAGATCCCAGGTAGTGTCAGGCACGTATCCCAGTGTCTTCTCAGGTGGGGCGGGGTCTTCGACCACAGTGACGGTGGAACCTTTCCAGGACTCAATGATGCGCCGACCACTGAGTGACGTCACTCTGGTGCACTGCTTCCTCAGCTGCTTCCGAGGAAAACTCTGAATCTCCTCTGTCAGGGACTGCATGATCGAAACGCTGACCTGCCGGAGTCAAGCAAGAGTTCGTTACAACAGCGCCCCCCCCCCCCTTTGCGCACTGGTACATAGTTCTCAAACTATGCACTATGAATTATTTGGGAGCTTTAGGTTGGGGTATTCATTTTCAGACACCTCAAAATAGTCACTGTTAATCTGCACTGCATCATACAGGCTGTATTATAAGTCATTTTTCCTAATAAATATGAGTAGGAAGAAATTATTCAATTAAAAAGCTACAAGTCAAATTGAGTCATTATAAATACTGAAATGAACATATATATATATATTTTTTTTTTTTTTTTCAACAACTGTTTATTTTTCACCTCTGCAAAAGCAGCGAAAAAAGATCCGGCTTGAGTTTATAGGGAAAAAAAATACACTTCCGTCCTTGTCATGTTCTGCTCCCAGTCTCGTGCAGTCCAGTTTAGTCCAGGTAAAGAGCAAGCTAATATAATAACTCCCATCCAGTGTCCATCCAGTCTCTGCGTTGGTTCTGTGTGTGCTGTGTTTGACGAGCAGTAAACAAGATGAATTCTGCAGAAGGTGATACTGACCTGTGGAACCTGAGACCAGTCTGTGTGTGTGTGCGTGTGACAGACAGTCAATAGCGCTAACGTCCAAGGTTTCTATCCTTTATATTTCACTTTTCCTTTGTTAAAGGTTTACAAAATTATTTTTATTAAAATATTTTGCAGAAGTTTTTGTTTTTATGTTCTGCACTTTTAATCATTTTATATTTCTAATAGATACTAAATGGATTTTTCACTAATTGTAATTTTTTTTTTTTTTTTTACAACATACCTATTGTGTCAGTGTGACATTATTTTTGTAATTATGTTAACCTCTGTGTACTGTAAAGTCGGGTGCTGTGGTCTATAACACCACTAGATGGAGCCAATGTGGTGATCCGTCAGTTATTATTGAGGGAATATTATTTTCATTGGTTTCTCATCCATTAATCCATACATACATAAACGTACACATACACCGTATTGTGTTTTTTGTTTCTGTGTAAACAGAGAAAATATATTAAAAAAAATTTTAAAAAGTATTTTAATCTTTTATATGTTTAATATTTGAAAGTGAAACCCAGAGTTACAACATCGGGGTGTTAGTAACAGCTCATTGACACCAGCACTGCAGCAAAGGGTTAATAATAAGTTTAAAGTCATCCATCTGAGTGAATGTTACTTACTTCACCTTTACCCGATTCACAGAGTCTATGAAATCAGAACCTTGTACAAGCAAAAAAACAAAACAAAAACAAACAAAAAAAAAACACCAGTAGTGTCACTTTCAAGCTAAACAAAATTATATGGATGCAGCAGCATAAAAAAATGGTTATGTCTGTTTCTCTGGTTGCCTTCATTGCTTTGGTTTCGTGTTAAATGTCTTCCTGCCCTGGTTTCTACTGTACCATTTAGTTAAAATATGATTCGTTATTCGGGCCGTAGTTACAGACCTATCATCGCGCTCTTCATTCGGTTGCCATAAAACGGCCAAAAATCAGTTTGCTGATCAAACATGGCTGTCACTGGTAAAAATCACAAACTGTCGGGCTATGTGACAATTAGCACTGCAGCGGAAAAAAAAAAAAAAAGCTCCACCTCATTTGCCTTTAGGTGTCGACACACATTTGGTCGTACACTTGCGCGCACACACACACACACAGAAACAAACGTGTACAAACTGACAAACGCACACTAAATACTGTTTGTGTGAAGAGGGGGGAAGAAGAAAAAAAAAAAAAGGGACACAAAAATGGAAGAGATGATGAACTACATTCAGCTACAACAGCCAGTGATAGTGCAATATGTCTACACACGCGTGCACACACAAACATATTCTCACACGCACACACAAACACAAACACAAACACACACACAGTAAGATCTCAGTGGCGACTCCCGCGTTGACCTCTTTGACCTCCGGACTGCTGAATCTGATCCCATTTCTGCACAGAAAGACAGGAAGGAAGTGAAACTAGAAATCAACAGCAGGAAGCTACCACCGTGTGATGTCATGATGATGTCACGATGACTTCACGTTCGACAACGAATCGAACGTCGCAATGAACCCCTGTTTCAAGTAGGACTCCTGGAATTGTCTGTTAAATGTAGCTTCCTTCTTCCTTGAAGACCTAGGCCATACGTGTCAAACTCAAGGCCCGGGGGCAAAATGCGGGCAGAATAGCTGCTTAGGAAGGCACAAGGGCGCATAGGCCCGCGGGAGCTTAACCTGAGAAATTAAAAGGTTTTTTATTACATCTTTTTTTTAATTGATCATCTTTAAATAAAGAAAGTAAATGGATATGACTGGACTTTTTCTTTGAATGAAGTAAATTAGTAAAAAATTAAGCACATTTTTTAACTATGTCCCACTGCAGCCTAGACCGGGCGTTGGGGACCCCTGATCTATACAGTCTTCCATTTACAACTGGCCCTTCAAATGGAACTGTATTGCTGATGTGGCCCCCTGGTGGAAATGAGTTCGACACCCCTGACCTAGGCTCTTCTTCTTGTCTCCTCATTGGCTCTTTTACCCTGCGCAAAGAAACTTCCCAAAGACGTTTGGTTTTTTTCGTTCATTTTGCTACCTTGCGCGCGTCATTTAGCGGTAATGTATTACATATTACCAGCCGAGGAGCAGACCTTTTATGAAGGTAGCGGGTGTAGGTAAGACAAGTGACGTTAGGCGTGGGCAAACTTTTTGATTCGTGGCCCGAAATTGTCCTAAAATTGAACGGGGGGGTCGGCGGGGGGGCTGGGTCAGGAGCAGATAGATGGAGCATTCGAGGGAACTAAGAAAAATGACATGTAAAAGACGTGCATAAAGGCTTA